CACTGGCTCTAGATAGGGGCGTTGACGTTTTTCGTCGTTTCTCCTTCACGCTCCAAAGGGGAGGGTGAAGCAAGGGAGTTGCAATCTGCAACTACACCGCTAGACACCACCAAATCCTACACACTGCACTTTGAATGCAGAGCTCCAGGATTGGACTAATTCTCATTAGTTCCACCTGAAATTTAGCAGATCTGATTTTTATTTGCACGTCTATTAGTTCTGCAGTACGCAAGGATTGTGAAGGGGTTGCATCACTTTCTGTGCCTCTCTCCTCTGCTCTCTGTCGTGAGCTGCAGGTCTGTTTGAGGGTCGGGCAGGGGTACATACAAGCGTGGCTTCCTTCTGCTGCATGTATTCACACAAAATCTAGCAATGCAGCACCTTCTCGCAGGTTTTTGCAGAGTTGCGTGTTGGGTTGGCCTCGTTTATTTGTGCCTTTTTAGAGTCGTGAAACCCCAGAATAATCTGGTTGGTGTTCACAACCCCCTCCCCCAACGTGTGACACATAAAAGCTGAAAAACCGACACAGGAAGACCATTGGCCAAAGACAGAACAACTAATTTGTGTGTGTGTTGAAATATTGGCACTTTCACAGTCAACAGTCACCATGTCTGCTTTAGGCCTAAAAGCACAATAATAATAATAGAAAATACATTCTCATATTACCGAGGTAATACAAGTATACAGCCTATAGTATATAGTATATCATTTTTGAGTTCTTGTCCTCTGTCAGGTATGATTGCTGAGAGCTGCTTCCTGTCATGCCACGTTGCTTGCCACAGTATGTTATTTTATTTTTTTCTCCACAAACACTTGGCAATTATGTCACACCCCCAGGTTAAGAACCTTTAGAACGTAACCGCTGTGAAACAATCAGGAAATAACATTTTATTTCTGTGATTCACAGCTTTGTTCTCGCTATCGTGCTACCTCTCTTCGTTTTTTCACTTTTCTGTCAATTGACTGATTAATCAATCATACTTGATTACATACAACCAATTTTTCAAAAGCATTTCAATGACTATATTTCAACGTGTAGCTATATGACCTGTTTCAATCTGAAATAAACAAATTGAAATGCTGTTCAAACAATATTACACTTTATATAACCAAGACATCTAAAAAAAACTTCTCACTTTTTAACCTAATTTAGACATCTTTTGACTTGTAAAAGGTCACATCAGTTTTTACTGGGAGGCCATCTTCAATCTGTAAATGGAAAACATTCCTCTTGATAAAGTTCTCCCAAAATTCAGCTGTGCTTTTGCTGACAAGTTTGTAAAGGCTTACTTGATGCTGATAGCAAACTCTCCTCCATCTTTCTGCCGCACAAGGAAGGTTCCATCGGACCGGGACATTAACAGGTTTTTGGCAGCGGTTCTGTCCATGTTCCCTGCAAACCTTCAATCACAACGAGAATCGCAACCAATGTAACTTTTGAAAGAAGAAATTACACAATTTCCAACATTTAAAAGTACGAAAAGTTGAATCCACCAATGTCGACTTTCTTCCCTGACTTTATGATTCTCTGTACTGTAACAGTTTTAGCATTTAACAATATCTCGGATCTGTCACTTGAGGCCAAAGTGGCTGTTAAAAGTTACAAAGTTCTGCTTTAAAGTTGCAGTAACACTTTAGTTTAAGTGCACCTTATTAGCATGTATAAGCAGTATACAAGAAATTAATAAATGGTTTATAACATACTACTATACTATGTAGCTGTAAGAACCTTAGTGTACAGTATTTGTCAACAGTTACAGTAACTTATATAAAGACATATTTTATGTTATTACAAGTGTATTTTACTATATTATCATTCATTATCTGTTTATACACCAGCCTCCACATGGTATAGGAGCTATAGTTGTTGTGGATGCATAAATACACACTTATAATATCTCTTATACCAACATTATTTTGTGTTATAAGATAAGATTATTGATCCCACACTGGGGAAATTCACTATATATAATCAACCATTTATTTATTTATTTATGAAAGTACTGCTTATACTAAACATGGTGGGAGAGGGTTTTATTTGCCATTCCAGTTAATATTTGGATATAATAAAGATCACATAGACGAATCCAGCAGCTGTTTTATGAAGTATGAAGACATATTTTATATGATTACAACTTTTAGTTATATAAGTAATATAGTTTTGCTATATTGTCTTTCATTATCTGTTTATACACCAGCCTCCACCTACAAGTGTCCACAGGCCGAATTATAGTTGTTAAAAAATACAATACAACTCTTCAATACAACTCTTCTTATAACTACATTGTAGTGTGTTACATGTTTATATACTGATAATAAATGCTAAATAGGGGACTTAAACTTAAGAGTCACCAAAAGTGACTTTTTTTGTATGTGACTGCCACATTCATTGTAATAAAATATTCACATTATGTTATAAAATTGGTGAAGTCAGTTGTGTTTTTATTTTATTCCAGTGTCATAGTTGATGTTAACCACCAGGTGGAACCATTTTCAAGTATCAAACATTGTGACTTAACAGTGTTTTCACAAGCTGTTGTTGATTTTATTTACTGTTATTTCCGGGAGTACATCTTTGTTATTAACATGAGCTCAGGAGCAGAGTAGAGAGACTATAAAATAGCTGCTTGATAACTAAAGGTTATTTTACACATGGAAAACAATGGTGTGAGGTGATCGATCCCATTAGTGTCAAAGTTTGTCCCAAACACAGCTTTAAAAACACCAGTAAATTACAGTTCTGTTTTTGTGGCTAGTATTTTCTGTATCAGCTCCGTTTCTCTGTCCCTGTTACAATGCATTCTAATACAGGAAGAACTAAAGCTATAACAGTGGTTTGGCGAGCAACTGATTTGACCTCCGGTTGATACTCACCAGTGGAAGCCAGACAGGTCTGGGGTCGCCCTCTGGGAAAGGGTAAACAGAGGTTAGATGTAAAACTTAGCAAAAGTGTACGGTCATGGTTGTAACTGCAAATCTTGGTTTCAGTACAGCAAATAGTAGCCAACACAACAGAGCATGTCTGTCATTTCTTTTTAGGTTTCTATGGAATTTTCAGTTTCATGGAGGGTGTCTGTTGTTTCGGAGCTCATGTTGGCATCATACTCACAGAGAGGTAGGGCTGAACTTTTTGGCAGGGGAACCATCCCATTTGTCCAACAGTCAGGTTCCTTCCCTAAGTGACACACACAAATCACATGGTCAGACTGGGTGAACCAAGCAATCATTACAACATACTGCATAAATTAATCATCAGGTCGACATGACAAACAAATTACTCATATGTGGTACTGATCTGGGGTAATTCTCACCAAATGTGTATGCAGGGATTACTGGGGGAGTCTTGCAAAGCTTGAAATAAGTCTAAAAACAAGGTACAATGCGATGACTATTTTCTCAATGTATTTTTGTGTCAAGACTAAGTAGTAGTAAGTAAAAGCTTAATTATGTTCCGTTTGCTTCACAAAGACTTCACATTACTTATAAAAGTGTCTTTATTTGTGTTTGATTAATTTTAATAACTTTAACTTTTTTTTTGCCAAAGTTACCTTTATGTAGTAATACAGTTAAAGGCAGGAACTGTACTTGCAGGTTCAACATTCAACTGTTCACTTTTGCTTATTTTTGTGACATAACTTTGTGGATGCAATAATATTGGACAAAGCTCTACTGGCTAGTGAAGTTTTCCACAAGCACTTGAATACACCAACAGGTAAACAAAAAGACCCTAATCTATACAGCTTTATCATGCAACAAGTAGCAACTAGGAAAAAAATACTTATTGACCTTCAAACTATGGTGTGCTTTGGGAAAATTATGAAAAATAAGGTAAGGTTTCTTTCTGATGTCTCTCTTGTGGTTATGCCGTGTATGTGTTTATGTGAGGTTACGTGCAGACTGTGGCAACACATTTACTGGAAAGGACAATGAAGTGTATCTATTTATCCAAATGTCATCTGGTACGCCTTTTTCACAGCAGACGATTTGACTGTTCCAAGTTTGAAAAACACAGGTGTTACTAATAACTGCTGAAACAGATAAATCCACAAACAAAATAGCTCCTGTTGAAAGGATTTTATTAGCTTGTGACGTTTTTCTGAAGAAGAGATTTATCTTTCACAGCTCTGATAGATGGGTTTTTGATACAGCACCCATCCAAGAGGACTAACAATGGCTCTGTTCTAATCAAAGTTCCCAGTGAGCTGCAACAGCATGGCCAGCGAGCCAGCATGCACAATACCAGGACCTGGAAACTGAAACAGCTAAATATAATTCAGCCATCAGGTTGAATTTATTTTCCAAATCCAAACCTTTTAAATGAATCACACAGTAGAGACATAAGTGCTAGTTGGGAATGAGGGAGGAAGCGGAGATAGAGTACGAGGTACGGGCAGGAAAATCACAAAAGAGCTTGAAGAAGACAAAAGCATCTCTACACCTACACATTAACCACAGGAAACAAGGTTTGAACACACAATATGTGTGACCCCACTCCACTTTCAGAATACAGAGTGTTTATTCTTGTGTTTGGTTTTTAATGTTACCTCCCACCATGGCAGCTCAGCATCAGCACGGGTCAGTTCGATGATGTCACCTTTGGAGAGTTGAAGTGGTTGGCCGAAGCCCACAGGGGGTGGCGGCAAGCCATAATACTCCTGAGAGACCTCCATCTTAGGAAACCCTGAGAGAGCGAGATGGAGAAAGAGGAGTCGCTGAGATATGAGGAAGGAGATCTGACAAGCAATATAAACACTTTAAATCCATCAAATGCTTCATGTATTCTTGAATATTTCAAAATAAAAGATGTGCTCTTCAAACGTATTACATTATGAATTTCTTACCAACGCTGGAATGTCCGGAGGACCTCTGTGTTTTATTCTGAAGGAATAAAAGACAAAAAAACTGAAATCGTACCTCAAGTTTGAACTGGTTTTACCAACTAAATCAAAAAAGGTACATTATAACTGACTTGTAGGGAAGGGCTTATTCATCTTCTCTACTTGAATATTATAAAACATATGCTGAATGTCAAAGATAAATGTAGTCTTACCTTCTTCATAGTACCAGCATGATCTGAAATTTGAAGAGGACAATCAATATAAGAAGTGTTATTACGCTAATTAATGATAATAAGAAAATATATTTAAATATATACACACGCACGTACACATACCTGAGTTTCGTCCGCAGGCAGGGACTCTGCCTAAACACTCTTTATGTGCAGCCATTTTACAGCGTGTGCAGCGATAGCCCTGGAAAAATATCCCTCTGCAGATGACAGATGGAAAGATTCAGCCTCAGCAGACAAGTTTCTTTTAAAAAATAGCGATAAGAGAGAAACAGATAGTAAGACAAAGTACCTTAACAGCATCGAGCAGGCCTTGCAGCAGGTTGTTTCCTCAAAGCAGAACATCTGGAAGTCATGGTTGTTGGCTGTGGAGTTCTCTGGACACATATTCGACCTGCAACCGTGAAGTACAACTAGTTTGACCATGCCGGGGTAACGAGCATTCACAGAGCTGGTTTTCCCTGGCAGGTAGTTTGACCATTTATTTGGTATTGCTGAGACTGAAGAAACTAATAGTAGTAGCTTGGGATGTCTGTTATTTTCCTATACGGCTAAGCAAACAACACAAAACCATAATGACAAGTAGCTACAGCCACAGTTTTCAAGTCACTGTCTGTCATGTGAACCAAAAAAGTAAAGTTTCAGCAAACAATTAACTGAAAGATACTATAAAGTCTGGGTCTGGTGATCATTTTTTGTGAGTTTGCCACTATGAACACCTCATTACACATGCTCATTTATTGTAGAAATATTGATTATAGATGCTTTAAATATTCCCAAGACTGTCCAACTTATATTTTAAGCCTGCAGGAATAGGCATCTCAAAAATAAATTGCTTGGCTCAGATGCTGTATCCACATTATGAGGCTTTAGAAAAGCAAATAATCAGTAAAGCTATTAAGTTACTGCTTGTAGCTGAATGAAATTGATACATCAAAGCAAACAGACCCTCTCCACACTAATCTTTGATGTATTCCTGGACTGGAATAGAACCTTAATTAGTATCATTGGTAACACCTGTGTTCACCCTAATGTTTCATGTCAAAATGGCTGCTATGAAAAGGGTCTAAAAATATTAAAATGGAAAGTAATTTGTACTTAAAGTAATTTATTAACCACGTTCTTTTTTACTTTGACTTGAGTAGGTTTCTCAAATGGTAACTTACGGTTTACTTTTTTTTTTTTTTTAAGTTATTTTTCTGGCCTTTTTATTGCCTTTATTTGATAGGGACAGCCAAAGATAGACAGGAAAGGGGGGTAGAGAGAGAGGACATGACACGCAGCAAAGGGCCGCAGGTCGGACTCGAACCCTGGGCCTCTACCAACTGAGCTAACTGGGCACCCTACTTGAGTCACTTTTAAAGGAGCACTTGTACTTTTACTTGAGTATAGATGTTAAGTACTCTACCCACCACTGGTATAATATGTGCATATGTGTGTATGATAACTTACATAGCCATCTCAAACTGTTCCAGCCATTTCTTCTTCAGTTCTCTGGTTTTGAAGAATAAATCGTACCCACCCCGCCCATAGCAGTCCAGCAGAAGGAACAAATAGGACCACTGTTCAGGCACAAACACACTGTTAGCTTCATGGATGCCTAATAGATGTACTGTGTGGTATAAGTTGGGGTATGGAGTAGTAGAAAGACCTTCTTATTGTCCTTTTCTCCAGTGGTTTCATCTCGTATCTGGTAGTGCTGTAGTTCAATGATGTCCTTTAGCTCAAAAGTCTCTCCACTCTTTTTCTTACACACAAACATGGCCTTATCGAAGAGGAATGCATACCTGAGGAACAGCCAAACATACACCGATCCAACACAAGGTCAGATACATAGCATTAACATGTGAAAAATACACTGAGACACAAACAACACAACACAAACCTGTCCTGTTTAGACTTTTTATCCGGGCTGCAGATCTTTAACTCCCCGTCGATCTTGGGGCGACCAAAGAGAGCTAGCGACTGAGTCTAGGGCAGAGGAAAGTGAGGATGACCAGATAATAAAAAACAAAATGAAGAAAGATAAAAAGTGAAACATGTGAACTCACCATGTTTTCTATGGACAACTGGAAGGAGGTGATCTGTCTGATGATCTCATTGTCTCGTTTCACCTCGTTCACACACTGCGCCAAGTCCTGGAAACACACGTACAGACAAATTAATGATGTTTTAATATCATAAATGTAACTTAGTGATGGATATAAACACACATATATACTTACTCTCATGGCATCAAGAGCTGTGCGGAGGTTCTCCTTATCTGTAGAGTCAGTGGTGTGCTTCACCAGCTCCTGCAGGCACAAACAGACACATTATAGACTAACTTTAAAGATTTACATGCAGCTACGCACACTCTAAAATAAAGCACACACCTGAACAAACATACCTGTAACAGCAGGTGATATTTGAGGACACGCTGCATAGGGACCATGAGTAAGTCTCTCAGAGAAAAACGTCCACTATTTGCTCTTTTTGAACACTCCTGAGAGAAAGAGAGAACAAGAGAAGGAAGTGAAGATCTGCAGGAACCCACAGATGTGTTAAGAGGATGTTGTGTGGCAGACTCAGCTGTCCCGCCAGTTTCCCTTGTGGCCAAAAGCGGTACTGAAACCAAAAAGACTCCTTTGACCCAGAAAGCATTTCCCATGGTGTACATCACCATTATAAAAGTCTGTGAAACAGCTGGCAGGACACCTGAGCACACAACGTCAGTTATTACTCTTTGTACATTTCTAAACAATTATACTTGAGCTCAGTATGCATAATGGGGCCAAAGTAAAAGACACTAAAGCACATGTGTTGTGGGCCACACAATGTAGGACCAAACTATGAAGAAAAACAACAACATTAACATAAAATATGTTAGGACGGCAAATTACATTCAAATGCCACTCCGGCACTCTATTATTATTATACTACTCATTTGGTACTGTACCATTTAAATGTTAACAAGACAAGTACAGCTTAAGTACTACTTAGGCACAGCTACAGCACTCTAAACTGCTATGTTTCTACAGTCGCCCAGAACGGACAAACCAAACACTGGCTGTAGATAGAGCCGCTCGAGTTTTATGCGCAATTCACCGCCACCGTAGTTTCCGTAGAGAGAAACTACACCGCTGGATGCCACTAAATACAACACACAGGACCTTTAAGGTGACGTGTCAAATGTTTTTTTTGTAGTAGTGACACAGCTGGCTACTGGGACAAACTGACAGCAGAACTGACTTTGCCACAGTGGGTCCATCTATCTTAATAAAGAGGGCCAAACAACTCGGGGATTATCAGTGAGTCCACCTTTACTTCAGACTGAATTGGCAAAAATGTGAACCTTACTACTACTGCTATCTACATCTACTGCTATCTACTTCATACAAAAAATATAAAATAAAAAATAAAAAAACCCACATCTTTTGTTATGGTACATCTGTAAAAGATTACTGTTCAGGGCACAATTCACACATCCCCTTTGCTCATGTTTTAGATGTATGTGTTCTCCTCACCTCCAGTTTCATTTTGATGTCCTCCCTCATATTTGAAAGCTTGTCTAGGTGTTTTGTTGCTGTTTCCACTTGACTACAGTATCGACCGTACAGTAAGAGCCTGGGGCAGAGGGAAAAAATTATAACATACATGTATTTGTAGTGTTACTACACTATATAACAGAACCAGTTGTGTGTGTGTGTGTGTGTGTGTGTGTGTGTTGTATACCTCTCCTTGTAGTTCAGAAAAACCTGGTAAAGGTTCTTGGCTCCATAACTTAGGATGGAAGTTCGAACCTCCTCCAACAAATTACGGTGGGTGTTGGCCAAATCCTACACATATGCAGAAAAAATTTAAACAATGCTAATACATGATGGTAAATCTGTATACTTGAACAGGTGTGTAGATAATCTCTCCCATACCTCTACGTTGATGAAGATACTCTCAATGTCTTGAACACTGAGAAACCTTTCAAGAGGCTTCATAAAGTGCTGCACAGAAAACAAGGCACGGTTGTTACTCTCTCTTCAAATTTGCATTTAAATGTTTTTATGCTTGTGTATGTGATTTATATATGTGTAAATGAATGGATCTTCTTTCAACAACCTGAAAACGTGTGCACACCTGTAATATAGATTCCAGTGTATCAGAGTATTTCTCTTCCGTCTGTCGGATTTCCTGCAGGCAACACTCCCGTTTGTCTACCCCGGTCTTCTGCTGCTGCACAAACACAGAGGATATTTTCCAAAGGATATCATTTCCTTGGTCTTTTTTTATCTTGTATTTTATATATGTTAACTATAAAGGACCCAATTTATGAACATAAAGATGTGTTTTGTTGTTTTCTTTCTTTCACTCCTCCACTTTCTTACTTTTCTTGATGCCTTTTTGCATTTTTTGGTTGTTTTTAAAAGAAATTTGTTCCATTTCATTTATCTTACACAGATCACAATAAAAATAGTAGTCCAATTGATGCATGAACATTTGGCAAAAATGATCAAATGAACAGGATACAATTCTACAGCAAGGCTTTTCAATTCCAGTGACATTTCCTGATTTTTCCCCCCTCCTTGGGGTCTTGTTAATTTTTGACCCTGGCTCTCCTGAGGCCTCATTTACCACACTTCTCACAGTGTCTCATAACCAGATTGTGCCTTTATGAATTATGTAGCTGGATGACATTTACACATAATGCCTTTCCTGGACGGGGCTGCCATCTGAAGTTATCTGTTAATGTCACTGGATGTGCATGGAGACACATCTCTGTATAACTCTCTGTGGTTTAGGTCAGTGGTTCCCAAACCGGGGGTCATAACACCCACAAGGTGTCACAGAATAAATCTGGATTGCAAGATGATTATCAGGATAGGTGAGCAGAGAGATACATTTTTGCTTCATAAAAATGTTCTTATTTTTCCAGAATTATTATTATTTTTTATATTGTTTGTCCTTTAATCTTTGCTTTTTTTTACTGAATTATTTTTTAAAGTACTGAAATACAACAAAGAAACAAAGTTACTCTTTGGTTGAACTGACAGACATATGCAACCAGTGACAAGAAGTAAAAATTGCTTCATTTTAAGGGGTCACAAGCCAAAACTGTTGGGAACCACTGATCTAGACAGATAGACAGAGACAGACCCTGAATTTTATACATTTCTGAACTGTACAGCTACCATGGTCAAAGACAGACCCTGCAAAGCCTCCAGGTTGCCAAAAGACATCCCAAACCTTCCTTCTTGTTTGAGATATTATGTTGTGTTGGCTCCACTTACAGTTTCAGGTGGTTCATCCGTTCTCATCAAGTCTTCATAGATCTCATCTCCTTCATTTTCCTCGTCCTCCACAAAGTCGTATAAGTCATCATCCTCATCCACTGTGTCACTGATACACGTTACACATACAAACAACACTGTTACCATCAAATTTGTCTTCATTAAGATCTCTAAATGGAACATCACTGTTTTAGGTCACAAAGCTACAGAAAAACACTTAAATGTGTTGTTTAATGATACTGGATCACTGTTATTATTCTGTCTTCGGTCTCTGGTAGATAAACTACATTTTTAGAAAATAGTGTAGATCAATGATTAGTGAGAACAGTGTGGCTCAAGATTATTTTTAACATTATTGAGAAAAAAGCTTACTCTATCTGGTCAGACAGGCCGCTGTAGATCTCATCATCAGTAGAGCATCCTTCCAAAGGAAAAGGCCTGGAGGTAGGGAAAGTGTGTGAGAATGATGTATGTGTAGAGTCTGACACTAGAATAGTGTTTTCACATTCATCTGGAGAAAGTAGAAAGTTTCTCTGAGCTCACTGAAAATCAAATTTTAAGGGTCTACGAGCATGATTTGGAAGTCAACCCTGGTCCAGTATGCAACTTAAACAAGTGTGATGCAAAACATGAAGTTGCCAGTGCACAAACGCTGAAAATTGACTGACAGTTAAGTAGGAAACAACTTCTCTCCAGCAGGAAACTTTGTAAATAAACATAATTTGCATATTCATATTCTTTCATATTATTCATATTTTTTTGTGGGGGGAAGAAAACACATCAGACATACATTATTGTTCTAAGCAGATTTATGTATTAATACATGTATGGAGGGGACCTTTAAGTAAAAGATCTGAGCACTTCTTCCACCACTGCAATATAGTAAAGTAAGTTGTAATATAGATAATAATGTAGAATACAGTATGTCTTCATAGGTGAACTGTTGACAATTACAGTACATTAACAAACAGTAAAAATGTCCTTATATCTGTGTACAACTACATTATAGTGTGTAAACACTTAAATGTATATAAATAGAGGGGTGTAAAGTAAAGTGTTAAAAAAACCACTAGAATTGTCTCAAAAAGGAAGAACATTACTTACTGGAGTCCTCTTTGTGTCGCAATGGATGAATGAGAGAGGATGGACAAAGTGTCTATGACCTGCCATACACACAGACACACACACAAGGAAGTATATAGTTAGTTTGTCCAGTACAGACAGAGACAGACTGCAAGAGAAACTGCAAGAACTGTTTCACACTTTAAACACTGACACTGAATAATTCTCCCTGTGACCTGGTTTCACTCTCCTTCTGGCACAGTTTGACTGTTCAACTGAGAACTGCAGTATCACGATGAGTGATCTCAGATAACCAATTTCATGCCAGATGTGATCAGAAAGAAACGCAAGCATATCACACAGCCGTCCAAATGAAACTGATTGTTCTTTCTGATTAGGCAACACCATGTGTCAGTGAGCTTTAATATCTGTGGCTATCTCTGGACCTAGTGTTATATGTTTAAAGGGTTTGTAACTACGAAATAACCAAGAAAAGTATGGATGTTTAGTTCCCTGGATTTGTTTTGTGCCATTCAACAAACTTTTCGTGTTTTTATACTTGAGGCACATTTTGCTGAATATACTTTTTTCACTCTTCAAAACCTTTGACTTCTATTCTAGTTGAAACTTCCTCTTCAGTTGCAGTGAGAAACACATACAAATTCAAAAGTTTCCTCCCAGAGTTTTGATTTTGAACTAAGGTCCTTTTCTTTCACAGAGGCAAATAAAGGGTGAGCCTCTCATGACACTTCTGGGGATATAAAATATATATATACTGTCCACATAAAGAGTATATTTCTCAGTCAGAACTGCAGAGCTTTTTGTCTACTTTCATTCAAGACAGAAAAGGAGGAAAGACGTAACAAGAAGTGAAAGTCTGTAGGAGAAGTTCGGAGAAAAAACCTTTTAATAGACTCATTAACAGCCCTACTGCCATATAATAACCAGAGTATATTTCAACAAGACTTTAAAGGAATAGTTTGACATTTTGGGAAATCAATTCATTCGTTTTCTTGCTGAGAGTTAGATGAGAAGATTGATTCCACTCTCAATGCTTGTCTGTTAAATATGAAGCTACAGCCGGCAGCCGGTTAGCTTAGCTTAGCATGAAGACTAGTAACAGCCATCCCGGCTCTATTCAAAGGTGACAAAAGCCACCTACCAACACCTCTTCTTCTCCCTAATTAACATGTTTTATTAACATGTTATATTTTGTTTGTTTAANNCTGAATACTTCTTCCACCACTGTAAATCATGCTTTACATATTACACCACGCCCGTCTGTTTACTGTATTTTATTGTACTGGGTGACTGACTGGAAGCAGTAAAGTGAAACGAGAAGCTCAGTGACTGTAACGCACTGTAAATTAAGCAAAAAAGAGCAAATACTATAAAAAGATCCCACAGTGAGGTTGAGGTTCAGCCCTTGCTAAATATTTTGGCTCTTAAAAACCCTGTTTCCTCTTATTTTGATGCCAGATACCAAACAAACAAGTGCACAGTACAAATCTCACATAAAAGTGCTGTTGCTGCACTGCATCGAAAGTGAAAGAGAGTTGTGAATTAATTCGTTCACTCAGCCGCTTCAATCAGAAAATCACCCAAGTACTTCCTGTTAGGGCTATGTGGGTGTTTGCAAGCTGCAGAGGGGACTCTATTCACGCTTCTTCTTCTACCATAATGACTTAAGTATAAGCGCACAATGTATTTCCCTCATGCACTTACTGTACTGTATTTGACAGACAGATAGATAGATAGAT